ATACCAAGCCCATGAAATTGCTATCCAGATATAGTATCAACATTTGATAAATTTGAGATTTTGGAAGAAGGCTCAGAAATGTAAACCACACGTTATTTCTAGTTCTGTGATGCAGCCTTCTCCCAAGTCTCTATCTCCCCCTTCTATTTTATTCAAAACACTCCTAACTTTCTGACCACCCAGTTCTCACTTCTTCATCTCACAGACCTATCTTTCTCTATTATTTCAGACAAGTTTCTTGAAGAATTTATACTTCCAATTTCCACTTCTCCCTCTTACTTATTCTCTAACCTACTAAAACCTAGTTTCTGTTCCCTGGACTCCTCTTCAATTCCCAGACCTCATAAATCCAAGGTTATTTTGCAGACTTCACTATCACTTGACTTCTTTAGCAACTTCTGAGGCTCACTCAGGCTGAAGGTCCTCAGAATTGCAAATCATCATCTTTAGACAATCGTGATCTATTGTTTTGACAATGGAGGCCCAGAATGCTGGGGAAAAGGCATTGCGTGGAGGTCAGTGAACCAGTTCCTAAAAGGAGGGAAGTAGAGGCAGATGGAAGATTTGCTTTAGACAATCACCTCTGCATAGAAGGGCAGAATTACAGCCCAGGAATCATAAGAACTCTATAAAAAAATCCCAAATTCATGAAAAAATATATGTGCAGTCTATTTTATTCACACAAAGAAGATTAAAGAATATATACCAAAATGGTAACAATGACTGTATTTCTCAATGTTAAGATTAAGGATAGAGTTTATTTTCTTCATTATAATAATATACATTTAGTTAATTTTCTATGACGAATATGCATTTAAAAATATTTTATCTATTTATTTCTAGAGAGAGACAGGGAGGGAGGGACAAAAACAGAAAGAAAAACATTAATGTGTGAAAGGAACATCAAATTGTTGTCTCTCCCATGCCCTACACCGGGAGCTAGGCATGCAACTCAGGCATAAGCCCTGACTGGGAATCGAACTGGCAAATGGTGACCTTTGAGTTTGCAAGACGTCGCCCAACCCACTGAATGGCAGCAGTCAGGGCCTTTTTTTCTTTTTTAAAGTTAAAAAAAAGGTAAAAAGTTGTTTTGTTTTCTTAAATAGCAAAGGTCTGCATGCCTCTACCACGGTAACAAATAAGGGTGTTGCCAGAAAGATGCAGTTCCAAAGAAAACACTGGAGGAGAAAACCCCTGGGGAGAGAGTGGGTGTTAGGCTGGGTATATGGGAACCCAGCTAGTCTTAAGAAAAAAAGATAACTCATGGGAACCATTCTGGCCTGCAACAACCTATCAAGTCCCTTATGTTCTCCTATCAAGAAACTGTGGAAATTGAGGACTTTGGTCAAGATGGTGGCATAGGTAAACACCATTTGTCTCCTCAGACAACCACATCAAAATTACAACTAAAATATAAATAACTGTCACTCAGAACTGTCAGAAGATGAGATGAATGGAAGCCTGACAATTATGGAATTAAAGGAACCACATCCATCCAGACTGGTAGGAGGAGTGAAGACGTACAATGAACTAGTCCCACATCCACGTGTGGTGGATAAAAATTTAGGAGGGATATCTTAGGAGCGAGGAACACCAGCCCCACACCAGGCCTCCCAAGCCAGAGTTCCAGTGCCAGGGAGACAAGTCCCCATAACTTCTGGCTGCAAAAACCAGAGGGGACTGAGTCAGTGGAAAAACATTCTAGAGTCCCAAGCAGTTCCCCTTAAGGAACCCACATACAGACTTAATCAGATTCAGTCTCTCTGAGCCCCAGCTCTGGGGCAAAGCCAAATTGTAGTTTGAAAGAAAGCAGTGGTATATGGGGAGGAACTGAAGTGTTTGGCGTCAAGGTGAGAGCTGGGTGACAATTTTCTCTCAGACAGAAAGGCAGGCAGAGGCCACTGTCCCTTTCTGAGCCCTCCATCAACACAGCCACAGAGCTGGCAGGCTGGTGCCATATCTGAGACTCCATCAACCTGGCTAACACTGTCTGACCTGCCTGGAGATCCCCTGAGATGCTGTCTCACCCAACATATGGGCTCACCCAAACTGTTAACCATGACCTACTCGTATGAATGCCTGGTCTTGGCTCATGCTTTACAACTTCCTAAACCCTATCAAACAAGCAACATCTGGCTGCAGTAAGCCCACAGTCCCTGTACCTCTTGCTAACTGGCCCCTGGCCCCTGGCTGGGCACTAGCAGCAGCCCACTTAGATTCACAATTTGGCTTTGCCTGGGACTCTCCAAGCTCAACACAAGTAGCAGACATATCAGACATATGAGCTTTATAGCATGAGCTTTATAGCTCATGCAGGGAGGCCCCGGGAAGAACACAGATAGGGGCAGACCTTGGCCTGTACCACCCAGGAAATCCCAGAGCTTGCACACCTGGTGGACAACTACAGATCATGGCAGAGCACTACCACTTGCCCCTGCACAGCTGATCCTCCAAGAAGGGCAGAGGTTGTTGGTCAGAGGTCATAGCCAGTCAGTGAAACTAATTGGCCTGTGTAACCTCCTCCCCATTGACCTGCCAACAGCAATCAAGGCTTATCTACAAGAGGAGGGTGTACTCAGCCCACACAGAGGGCACATCTCTAGTACCCTACTTGGGACATAGGGAGGCTGTGCCACTGGACCCTTCAAGACACCTGCTACGTTAGGCCACATCACCAAGACAGAGTCAAAGCAGCTCTTCCTAATACATAGAAACAAACAGAGGGAGGCTGCCAAAATGAGAGACAAACATGGCCGAAATAAAAAATCAAAAATCCAAAAAGAGAAAAAACAAAAGGGAGGTAAACAATCTATCAGATGCAGAGTTAAAAACACTGGTTATTAAGGATGCTCAAGGAACTTAGTGAGGACCTCAACAGCATAAAAATGATCTGGTCAGAAATGAAGGATTCACCAACTGAAATAAAGAATAATTTAGAGAAAACAAGAGTAGAGTGGATAAAGCCAAGGATCAAATTAATGATTTGGAACATAAGGAAGCATAAAACAACCAATCAGAACAAGAAGAAAAAAGAATTAAAAAAAAAGAAAGAAAAACAAAACAAGGAGAGTGTAAGTAGCCTCTGGGACAACTTTAAGCATTCCAATATTCACATCATAGGGGTGCCAGGAGAAAGAGAAGAAAAAGAGCAAGAAATTGGAAATCTACTTGAAAACATAATGAAAGAAAACTTCCCTAATTTGGTGAGGGAAATAGACACGCAAGTCCAGGAAGCACAGAGAGTCCCAAACAAGATGAATGCACAAAGGCCCACTCCAAGCCACATCATAATTAAACTGCCAAAGTTTAAAGATAAAGAGAGAGTTATTAAATGCAGCATGAGAAAAGCAGCTAGTTACCTACAGGAGCATCCCCATAAGACTGTCAGCTGATCACTCAAGACACTTTGCAGGCTAGAATGGATTGGCAGGAAATATTCAACTTCATGAAAAGCAGGGACCTATAGCCAAGATTGCTCTACTCAACAAAGCTATCATTTAGAATCAAAGGACAGATTAAAAGTTTCCCAGACAAGAAAAAAGTAAAGGAGTTCATCATCACCATACATTATTACATGAAATGTTAAAGGGACTTATTTAAGAAAAAGATAATAACTATGAACAATAAAATAGCAAAAAAATAACATATCTAGCAACAATTGAATCTAAAAAACAAACTAAGAAAAAAAGAACAGAGACTCAACCATGGATACAGAGAACATTTTGATGGTTGCCAGACTGGGGGCGGGGGGGTTGTTGGGGAATGAGTGAAGAGGTGAGGGGATTAAGAAGTACAAATACATAGATACAGAGAATAGCCTGGGGATGTAATGTACTGTATAGGAAATGGAGTAGCCAAAGAACTTATATACATGACCCATGGACAAGAACAATGTTTGGGGATGGCCTGAAGGAATGGGGTGTGCTGGGTAGAGGGAGACAAAGGGGATAAAATTGGGACAACTTTCTTTTAATTGCTTTACAACAATTGAAACAATTAAACAATTTGGTGAAACAAGTAAAAACAATTCAAAGAAAGATTCTGTGAAAATCTCACTGTGGCTCTGTCCTACACTATCATGACTCCACCCAAATGGGGTCCCCACTACTGCCTCCGTACAGATGCTAAATGTTCTTGAATACTGGAAAATATTTCAAGAATATTTAGAATACAGGATACTCTATACTCTGAAATGTTTACAACCTTCTGCTGACCTTGCCCAGCTCCACTTCCCAGTCCAGACACTGTCCTCAACACCTGTAGTTCTCTGACTGCACACGGTCTTCCCCATCCCTACCCATCCTTTACAACTAGCTCCAAAGTAAAATCTCCTGGGAAGACTCCCAGTCAACTGGCTGCTCCCTCCTCTGTATGTTTTAGTGGCTTCATACATATTCTAACTATCAGTCAAACACTTGTCTATCCCACTAAACCATGGGATATTTCAGGCAAGGAACCACATCTTTCCATGCATCTAGAATAGTGTCTAGATACTGGTGGTACTAATAAACATTTGATGATCTAAATAAATGCATGAGTTTGTTTTCACTGCATATTTTTACAGATAGCTCAGAAGTAAATTTTAAGAAAAGAAAACAAAGTTTAAGACCTAAATAAAAAGAAAGTAAAGATCAAACCAAATATATACTGGGCAAATGGTAAGATTTCTGCCATATTTACAGCTAAGAGTATAAAACTATAGCAATTTGGAATTATCAACCTTCTCAAATAATAACTTGAGGATTACATATTGTACAGTGGTTTTCTTTTTCCCTTGTTGAGTGTAGAGGAAGCACTGGAAAGTGTCTGTTGCAATGCAAATATAATTTGATTATGTAGATTCTCTTCTAAATCAAATCAGTAAGAATGGCTATAACCAGAGAACAAGGGAAAGTCAACAAGGGAAGATCAACTGCAAGAAAACAGAACCTACACATAATTCTCATTTCCATACAGTTTAACTTTCATCAGTACCTGCCCATTGCCTACAATGAATTTACCTGAGCTCAAGTAGGGACTGGGTTTTGACCAGTCTGGGACTGCATGTGTGCAGGTGCTCTCTCTGCTACAGAGTCTGTTACGCTTCCATCCTGCTGACATTTAATTATTTCCATGGTCATTTGTCTGAAAAGACAATAAAAAGGAAGAAATATTAAAGTCCTAACTAAAACCTTTCTCTGTTTTTACCTATCTTTCTGATACTCATTTCTGTCATCCAAATGTACTAGTTTTTCAAGAAATAAGTTTAGTGGCAGAGTCCTTACTCTCCAAACTGAAGGTACCTGCTCTGCTCACTGGGTATGAACAATACCAAAGGAGAACTGCAAAACATTTTATGGCAATTAGCTTATTAATTTTTTTAATCTTATAATTAAGTCTCCTTGATAATTATTTTAAGCCTATTAGTATAAATGAGTGATAAAATTGGGTTTTTTATTTTACATGAAGACTATGATTCTCAAGGCTGACTATACCTGCTTTATAATAGGATGTAGTAGGAAAGAATTTTACCACTGACTTAAGTGCATTGTAACATAAAAGTGTGTCTAGCTTTGCCAGCATTAAGCAGCTTCTGATACACAAGCCTCTCAAATTGCATCACTCAGAACTCACTGCTTGTCCTGCAGCTCCCCAGTTACTTAAAGAAGAGAATCTAATTTTTTCCAGGAAAAACTTTTGACATAATGTTTTTGCCTATGATTTCAATTTAAGTTAATGATTTCTATATGGGGTCTCTCCAGATAAAAAGGTAAACCTTATCAGAATTAATTTTACCCTACTAGAAAGTTAAAATGCAAACAAAATTAACTCAAATTTTGAAAGCTTACAGGAACTACTCCCTGCTATTGTACATTTTTTTTTTTAAATCCTCACCCAAGGACATTGTCTTTTCGTTACTTTTTGAGAGAAAAAGGGAGAGAGAGAAACATCGGTGGGAGTGACAAGCATTGACAGGCTGCCTCCTGCACGCATCATGGTAGGTGTCTAGAATGGGGATCAAACCTACAACCTAGGTTGGTGCCCTGATCGGTAACTGAACTCTCAACCTTTCAGTTATGGGTTGATATGCCAACCAACTAATCCAAACCAGCCAGGGCTTGGACATCTTTTAACTGTCAATAATATAATGTGTTTTTTTTCTGCCTTGGGAATCTAAATAATACCCAAAAAGTATGGAGGCCACTTAGAACTTTGAAATAAAATGTTCAGGTCTTTTCCCCAGATTTAATTAGTTGCCATATTTATAGATCTTTCAGCTACAGTCTTTTACTTAGTACCTTCTTCTGTATTCCAGCAGCCACTAACTAGCTGAATCCAAGCCTTCCATTCTCAAGCAAGTGAGCTATCCTCTCTACCACACCTAAGAGTTGCTTTTCCCACAAGTATCTGACCACCAAAAATCCTTTTCCACAAATAATGCCCCAGCAATAGTGTTTTGGAAACAACTTGAGAAATGCTGTCTTATGCCAATTCTTACACCTTTATTAAAAACTGTCTCAAGGCTGTGCCAAGAATTTGAGTCTCAATTCAAAAATTACATATTGAAAGGCCTTCCCCAGTAAACGCTATTCATTTTAGAAGCAATTCAGTTAGCACCATCTACATAATAGACCCTGAAAACACAAAAGTGGATTAGTTACAACCTTTAATTACCCTGAAGAAATTCAATTACAGCCCTTGGTTTCTCACAGTATGGTCTCTGGACAACCTAGATCAGAATTAACCACCATACTTGTAAAAAAATAATAATAATGCAGATGCTCAGGTTCAATCCCAAATCTTTTGAAATAAACTTTTGGGGGATCTACTTTTTTTAATCCTCACACGAAGATATGTAAATAATTTTTTCTTTTTTTTGAGATGAAGGGGAAAGGAGAGAGAGAAATATCAATCAGTTGCCTCCTATACATGCCCTGACCCGGTAGCAAACCCGCAACCTAGGTATGTGTCCTGAATGAATGACCTTTTGGTGTACAAGACAATGTTCCAACCAACTGAGCCACCTAGCCAGGGCTGGGGATCTGAATTTTTATCTCAATGAGATTATGATATAAATTAAAATTTGAGAAAAAACTTACTTTATTGGTAAATTTTATCAGGTTGACCAGCACTAAATACAAGTAAAGTAACTTCTTAAGTTGTGTGAAGGATGTTATATATGAAATGGTTTGGGAAACTTAGAATGCAATGATTTAGTCTGCCTGAGGATGGGGCTATGAGTTGTACACGAGGTCTGGCCAGAAGGTATCCTGGCATGTAATATGAAAAACAGAGACATTCATTGAGGAAGATACAAAAACACTGTACACAGGACAATGATGCCTGGCGGTTCCCTTCAGAGTAGGGCACCTTGGAACCTCACACAGTTCTTCCAGTCACCATCAGCTGCCCCATCATATTTTCCTGGATCTCACTGATAGTCTGAAATCTCTTCCTTTTCAAAGGTGATTTCAGTTTTGAGAAAAGTCAAGAGTAGCAGGGGACCAAATCTGGGATGTAGAGGGGGTTGAGTCACAGGGGTGATTTGATATTTCACAAAGAAATTCTGCACTAAATGCGATGCATGGGCAGGTACGTTGTTGTGATGAAGCTGCCAGTCAACAGTTGCCCATAGCTGCAGCCTCCTGAATCATCCAAATAGTTTCTGCTAAGGAATGTTCAAGCTTAGTGCAAAATTTAATGAAGATTTGTTGCTCTACTGGCTTGTCATTTTGAATGCGATGGCCACACAAGCACACATGCTAACTGAACAGCATCTACCACCCCAACTAGTACAGTGAAGTTATCGTTATTCATGCATGTGCATTCCAATCCACTCTCCTTGGCTGCCAGTAGACACTGATGCCTCACAAAGCATTCTTGTTATATTAACAATGGCTGAGCTTTCTCCAGACAGACCTCGAATAATTGTATTAACCAATGTTGCCCCAATAAAATTTAACTTAAAAAAAGAATTGAGATATAGTTTTAAAATGCTTACTAATCATCTAACGATACAACTAATAAGTTAATGTTTGTGGGCATATATATGTATGCAACTTATTCAACTTAAATCTGTTCTCTTCTCCAGCTTCCGACACTGAATGAATTTCTAAAGGAAATATCCCTAAATTACAGCAGCAATTCTCAACCCTGGATGCATCTTAGAATCATCTGGAGAGCTCTAAATAAAACACGAAGGCCCAGTCCTACCTTTCTAGGCTAATGGAAATCAACGTTGAGAACTGCTGGATAGGTAAATCCAGAAGTATTATTTACTAAACCTGGGAAACAAAGAGAAGACTGTTTAAATGTTTCTGGGTTTAAACCAGCATCATCATCGTATGAGCTGGGTTCCGGGGTGAGGACACTACAGGCTAAATTAGAAATCCTCTTAACCTGACCTAGTCTCTTAAACTATCCGGAACCAACAAAACACAAGGTGGTGGTCTTCCAAATGTTTTCTCAAAAGTGAGTGATGACCAAATTTACATCTCCTTCAAATGAAAGAACATACAATACTACTGTAGTTTTTCTCTGGCAAAATCCTCCAGAGCCTTACTGCCAAACAGCTGGTTACAATCACTCCCTCCCGCCCCCCTTTCCCCTTCTGTAGTCAATACCAGTAGGCAGCCTGGCTCTAAGAAATGTGAAATCTTCCTTCTGTTTGTATTTTTAAATCCATTATTTAAAACATAAAGCCTCTACCCGATCCTAGTGCACAACATAAAGGAGAAATTATTGCCAAATATTTTTGCCTGTCAACACAGTATAGGACTGGGTAATGGCTTTCTATAACAAACCCATTCACTCATTCATTTCTTTAAAATAAAATACTTATTAAGTCTTTGTTATAAGCTAGACACTTCTTTCAGGGGACAGTGTCCATAGCAGTGATGAAGACATACCTGGTCTTAGTATCCTTCTAGATGCCTCTAAGTGCCTAAATTTTAAAATAAAGTATGGAGGTAGTTCCAAAACATCTAAAGAGGAGGTTAAGATAATGGAAGTCTACAGCAACAACACTAGAAAGGTCGCGTGGAACCCTAACTTACCATGCACTTACTGTAACATAAGCCGGATGTTGTTATTAGTCTCTTTGCATGTGGTACAATACTTACTTAACAAAGTTGCTGCCCTAAAGACATGAAATTACTACTTAGAAGAAATTAAAGAATGACAAACAATAAGAACATTCTTTCTTTTAGTTGAGTTGACACGAATGAATTATGACAGGGTTGTGTCAATTCACTCATACAAGAAATTTTTTCAGATTAGCTCAACCATATCGACTGTGGTATTTCTGGGTTAAAAAAGAAAAAAGAAAAATCAAGCCGTCAAAAAAATATATTTCAAACTCCAAATTTCTTGAAGTTGGAAATATCGTAAACTCGAAGCATCAGGCATCAACTACCCATCTGTAGGCATTAAGCAACGTAGCTTATTGACAAAACCATACTACTAAATTATTAATAAAGATACCAGTAAAATATACTTTTACTAGGTGCAGTGATCGGTAGTTTAACTTCCTTTATAAAACACTAGTCCGAACCAAAAGTCACGCAGATCAATCAGGGATTCCTAAGACTGTATTTCGGTCCCAAGCAAAACCGGGGTAAAAACCCAAAGACGTTTCCAAGCCATTCATTCCAGTGATACTCTAAAGAAAAATTTTTCAGCATTCAGGTGGAGCAATTTGACCCCAATCCCTTAAATCCCCCTTTCCCCAAATCCTTTGGTGGGGAGGCCTTTGGTTTTGCTTTCAGCTTTTTAAGGAAATGCTGGTGGGGGACAGCCAAGTGGGATCAATATGTAAGTCTCCGGGGAGCTGACACAGGCCAACCCTGTTCTCCAACACTAGCTAGAGACTAGACCCAAAACGGGGATTCAGATCTCAGTTACACCCAAGACCTTGTCAACTCACTTCACTTTACAAAAAAAAAAAAAAAAAAAAACAAACGAGCGAGCTCAGCCTGGTCGCGAACAGCTTCGCTGTGGGCCCAGACCAGACCGTGCCCGAGCCCGCGGCCCTGGGCCGCCCGCGCCCAGCGCCGTCCTTTCACGTCTGGGGACCAGGGCTGACCAGGGCCAGCTCCTGTCACCCGGCCTCCCGCCCCTAGCCCGCGGTAGCCGAGCCCAAGTGCGGAGCGGGGCTGTGAGGGTCCCGGCCAGGCCGCGCTCACCGTCGACGTTCTCCCGGTCACTTGATGTGCTGCAGGTTGCAGCCCGTGTCCTCGCGGCTCAGGTCGGCGTCGGGCCGGTAGGATTCCAGCCGGGAGTGTGCATTCCTCCGGAGCTTAGGGCTGGACGACACGCAGCAGGAGGTAATGTTCCCCGCTGCAGGCGGCGCGGAGCACACGGCGCTGGCCCGGCTCCCGGGTCCGGGCGTAGAGCGAGGCCCGCCCGCCGCCGGGAAACGGACGGAAGCGCGGTCAGCAGCGGCGGCGGGGCCTCACCATGGGCGGCGGGCGAGGCAGCAACGGCGGCGGGGACGGGCAGCTGCAGACGGCTCTCTCGGCCTGCGGGGCGGAGGAGCGCCGGGACCGCGGACTGCATCGCCTTGCGGGTCTCACCCGGCCGAGGCCAGGGCGGGCGGAGGGCAGGTAGCCTCCCCGCGCTTCCCGGTCCGCGCCCGCTCAGGTCGGCGGCCTCTGCAAGAGGTTCCAGTGCATGCAGCAGAGTCGCGGGTCCGCGGGAGCGGGGGCGTCGGGACCGTGCGGCAAGAGCAAAGGTCAACAACTGAATCTGAAGAACGAAAAAGAAACAAAACAAGAACAGGAACAATCTAAGCAAACAACCAGAACAGTAACAATATCATAGATATGGAGGTCATTTGAAAGGTTATCGGATGGGAGGGGAAGGGGAAAAATGGGGGAAAAGGTGCAGGGATTAAGAAGCACAAATTGATAGGTGCAGAATAGGCGGGAGGATGGTAATAACAGTAGAGGAAATGAAGAAACTGAAGAACTTTTATGCATGACCAGTGGACGTGAACTAAGACGGGGCAATTGCTGGAGGGAATGGCAGGTGTCGGTGGAGAGGGGCTAAGGGGGGATAAATTGGGACAACTGTAATAGTATAATCAATAAAATATGTTTTAAAAAATAAGTTTAACAATCCATCCCTGCCCCCCAAAGGAAGTGTGTTTGGGAAATCTCTAACCCATAGACAGTAGTCACTGATGAAGCAATTGAAGAGGAGATACGAGATTCACCAGGAACAGAAAAGCATGATAAAGAAAAGATCATATGGACCCTAAAAAACTTAGTTGTAAGTTCTTCTTTTCTGTTTTGCTAGTGGTTTGGGTGAGCTTATTCTCTTTGCTTTCAAAGATTTTATATGAATATGTAAAAGCTGAGTGACGTTTCCAATAATGAAAGCACAAACTTAAGTACATGCTTTCTCAATGTTTCAGTCCTCTCCTTGTTAAACTTACTATTTTTCAACCTCATTGTGTGCATCCCTAGAGCATGATAATAATATTAAGATATTGTGATACTTCAAGAAAAAGAAAATGTGTTAAGATGAACTTCTTTCGAGGTCTCAAAGAAGCTGAACTTTATTTATTTAAAAATGTGTAATTACTGTTAAAGATCCTAGATAGAACCTTACACTTTAAAAAGTCAGAAGTCATAGGATATACGGGTATACAGTAGTTCCATACTGGACACCAGGCAGTTGTTTCTGGACTAGGATATGTCTCTGCAAGTGCAGTTGCATGAATTCATGTCTCCAAATCATATGTAAATAAAGGACCAGAGCTATAGCCAGTAGGTTTAACAATAGCATTGTCTAATGCAGGCTCCTGGTGAATTACATTGTTTAAATAGCCATTAGTTATGACTCTGAACTTTGTTTAATTTATTTGAACAAATCCACATATAACTGAGAATTTTTTTGGTCTTCAAATTAACTGAATGTTTAGAAAATCAGTTCATTTTTGTTCTATCACATTCTAATGAAATTTAGGCCTATTACTGACATTGTCACCAATAACAGTGTAAACAGATAAACATTTTATTATTATAATTCTTTACTAATATATTATTTCTTCAAATGTAGTTATTGTTCAAGAAATTTACTTTTTGAATTCTTGTGATTGTGATAAAAAAAGAAATGAGTACTAAAGTCAATATAGAACATTTTCCAGAGTATTCTTAGTTCAGGGTACAGATAATTATGATGAGACATAGTCTAAACTACAAATAATTATGATCTCTCTCTCTCTCTTCCTAGTTCACTGAGGATAGGGGAAACTAGGGAATTTTTGTTTACTTATTATTATTATTATTTTTTTTGCTGGTCTTTTTTTCTCCTAAAACTGATGGAGAGTCAAAGAAGATAAGCTGTATCATTTAGGAAAGAGTGAGTATGAATTAGAATAATTTAGGAATGTCTTCACACATATACCAAAGAAGATACAGTTTGTGGTCAGTACTTAGTGTTAAAAATGAAATGGTTTGTTTGGTTTATCTTTTCAAGCTGATTCTGTGTTAGTTTGATTCTTCACATGTTACTCTTAAACCGTATTAAAATTAAAATAACTGAATTTATACTGTGATTTTTAAACATGAGATTAATATATTTTGATAGGTAGGTGGAATCACTTTTTTCAAAAAGGTTATTTTATGAAACACTTAAAATCTGCTTGTTTTAAGCCACGATGTGTCTAACATTGATTTTTCAAAACAGAAAAAAAGTTTTTTACATGACACCCCACTTTGCAAGCAGTTCGTGAAAACGGCTGTATTAAAGGTAGGTAGAAGTGATGTTTATGAACTTAAGCCAAAATCGAATAAAAAACTAAAAAATTTCCAAACTGTAAAAATGTTCTATTCCTTATTAATAAAGATTTTAGAGTCAGTGATTAAAACACATTTGAGTAATTAAAATTGATTTTTTAAAGCACAGGGAGAGTGTATTTTAACTAAAATATCAAACAGACATAAATACCAAGCTGTTTTTAGCAATCCTATACCAGAGGAACGACATGAATGTGATTGGATGAATGGGTGGCAGATTTTTAGAAGACATGATTTTTAGTTTTGAGATGTGCAGTTCAGAAGAAATTTTGAATAAACAGTCATTAACACAGTAGAAAGTAAAAAGATATTGAACAAGCAGTTTTATTCTTGATTGTCTTCAGGTCTCATTTAAGGTAATTTAAAAATTAGTATGTGGTGTTTTTCCCTAATTTATGCATTTGTTATTTCATTGAAAGCACCATAACACACTAACAGGATCTTGTCTTCATAAGAAAGTATTCTTTAACATCACATAATATAATCGTATTAATATCATTAATATGATCATGATAATAGTAATATATTAATATTATATTAATATATAACCATCAATGTTATATTAATAATTCATATTATATTGATATTATCACAATCATATTAATGATATTATTATTATATTATGTGATGTTAAAGAATACACAATATACTGTATATACCTTTAGTTCTGACAAGCATATTTAATTCCAAGGGCAATTTTTAAAAAATACATGACTCAAAATAGTGTTATTTGTAAATGAAAATATTGGTAAAGGACATATATAAAATATGTTTCTGTTACGAAGTTTCTGACGAAGACTATCAATGGAACATCTGTTTGCAAAACATCTAAATTAAAATACACAAATAGATTTCAATAAAAAGATATTTAAAACTTATAGGAAAAATTCAACTTATTGATTCAGATTAACAACCTTAAGAGTTATAAACAAACAAGTACGCCCAGATAATGCATATGAGTTCAGCACTTTTAGTTTAGAACCTTAAAAAAAAACAAACTGACAAGTAAATAAATTGAAATGGGCTCTAATTTGTTCACCAAGCCTTTTCACTGAAAAATATAAATGGCTGCCACTTCATAGTGTTATACACCACTTCAAATATTTTGTTTTCCTGAATACTTAGCACAAATGTGGCATTTCAGAACTTTGATTAAAAGATTAATAGAATAGCCTTTGAAATATTCTATTATACACTTTGAAATATATTTTGTGAAATCAAATGTCTGCACCTGATGGGCATACTTGTTCAAATACTCAACAATATGTAGTACTCAACTAAGTACTAGGCATGAATGCCTTATTGGTGTTCAAGAATTACATGGTTCCCTTCCTCAAGAAACCTATGTATAAAAGTGAGAGGGGGACAAGATAGTTTAAAAGTGAAGATGTAATGTATGAAGAATCTAACATTGTAATAAAGTAGAGTGACTGGAAGTTTGTTGTGATAGACAGCATGTTCAGAGGGTTTTCCTATGCAGACGACATTTAGTTGAGACCAGGAGGGATGAAATGAGAAGGAGCTGAATTTAGGGGAATATTGATCTCTGCACATGGTGTAGAAAGTAATAAGGCTCTCAACCTGTATCAGTTGGGGTGTTCGTGGAATTTAGTGAAGAAGAAAAATTGTTTGAAATGAAATTAGAAGGGATAGGCAGAGTGCAGATCATAAAAAGCATAAGTCATGGTAAACAATTATGGATGCACTGAAGGCCTTCTGTGATCTGAATTTTACCAAAGTGGTTCATTAAAAAAAAAAGATCTTTTGGATCAGATATTTGGAGCCAATCTTGTTAATCTGTATCAGAGAATGGCCAAAATTTGTGAAATTGTGCATTGAACATGTTAAAGAACAAGATAAGTACTAAAATTGTGAAATTATGCATTGAACATGTTGACGAATAATGTATGACACTGATTTCTTTTAAAAAAAGTTAAGCACACCAATTTTTTTGCTGTCAGAATACCTAGGAGTTCTATGATTTTGAACAATGCAACCAAAAATTCTTTATAGTCAGAAGATGTTAAGAGAAGCATCTTGTTTGCAAAAACTTACATGTTTGTATCTGCTTTAAATTAAGAACTTCTTTGTAAGCATCTATTAAATTTTCAGTTTATGACTGGTTAGTGTGTAGTATTCTTTGAAGTCATTTGTAGTTGGCATTTGCTTAAAATAAAGAAGTAGTGATTGTGAAACTGACTTTATTAAGAAATGATTTGACAGTGTAGAAGATATGAGGAGATTGTGTTTACTTAGAAAAAGTTTCTTCTGTTTATAATAAAAATGAGGTGGTATTTTAAAACTTAAACCAACTATTATTATCTGAGTCTTTTTATGTAATTTACTGTGAAATAATACAAACTAATTTCAATTTTTGGTACTTTTAACCTGGTTATAATATTTATACTAGTTTCATTTTATTTTATTTTTTTATCAAAAACAAGTATCTAAACAACTAAATAAATAATTGAATTAAATTAAAAGAAAAGATTTTTTTAATTGCTTGAACTCTGAAAGTTTAATACATCTTTTTGTAATATTTTAAATGAATTAATTTATTTTTCCAAATGCATTTGCCTCTGCCTTCCCCCCACCACTTTCCCCTGCCCCTACCCCCTCTACCTCCCTCAATCCTTCCCCACTTTGGTTT